GGTGACACGCGCGTACATACATATGCACGTATACACACCGCGTTCGAACACACGGAGCAGACTGTTCGCAAAGTGAAGCGAACGAGCCTCTCCTCCAGAAGTGCAAGAGACGTTACGTGAAAAGGATTTTACCCTCTGGATGATCCGGTCGAAGAGACTCCAGACGAGAGAGACGATACCTCTTGGTCGCGACTCAACGTCGTTGCCCTCTCTGTCAGTCATCGTTTTTCCCCCCCTGCGACAAGTGCAACCTACGTCCACTCTATATTCGTCCGTGTTGACAAACGAGAAAGAAGCAACGCGAGGAATGATCAACACGAGGACGTCGAGCGAGCCGCGCGAACGTCGCTAGTATCGAGAACTGTTCGCCGCCAGAAGCTGCCGGTAGAGTATCCGCTGTGCGTCACGCTTCGTACCACACGGGACGAAGACACTGCCGGAAGAGTTCTACCTCCCACGAAGATATCTGTCCTTTCTTCTCCAGCTGATTCTACTCGATGTCGCGTTGCCAATTTCGTTGGTAATTCCCTTCCTTCTAGCGACATTTCCGCCACATTCCGTGACATTCTCACAGATCAGTCGCTCTCGATCTGTTGTTCGAGATTTGAAATTCACTGCGACAGAATCGGCCGCATCCATCGATACCGCGAGAAGTTCTCTTGTGCCGAAGTTTTCCCTAGTGACGGTGAAATTCGAAGAAGAAGGAGAAGAAGAAGAGGAGGAAAGAAGCCGTATCGAATTGAGAATCGACCGGCAAGTGTTATGTTACATCGTATCGAACGAGTGTCAAGTACAAATCGTTGAAGATCAAGATGGCAACTGTGTTGTGGTAGCCGTGTGATCAGCTCGTTGGAACAGATTGGCAGCAAGGGAACGAGGCTGGCAAAGATAGGAACGATGCTCGAGGATCAACCGTTGGACTTGAGCGTCCGGGTAGGAGATTACGCGGAGTTCTCCCGAGAGGAGAACGATCAGGATCAAGATCGGAAGGAGCCGATCGACGACTACGGGAACGCCGCGGCAGCGCTCAGGTTACGAGGATGCTTCGTCGCCACCACGTCCACCGAATACTCCCAGGAAAGAGAGGATCGTACCTGTTCCGAGGATTCGGACGATTCGTGCTCCGACAATAACCAAAAGGACGGTAGCACGAGATCGAGGTCCAGACCACCCGGTACCAAACCGTACAAGAAGAATCTTATGAGACGATACCGTGAGTTTTACCACTCAGTTACTATGGATGTTTATGTAGATTCTAATTTTTTTACCAGCATGATGATGAGCTGTTGATACTTATAATATAATATAATATAACTGGAAACAATAATTCGGATAGAACATAGATGGAAGATTGATTTATCTATCAAATGTTGTAAAAAGTATTTTGAATATTTTGTACATTACGTGCTCTCATTATGTGCATTTTTGTATCTTCAGACTTTATCACAGACGCGTAGAAACTTATATACATAAATTTCCTACAAACCTTATTATCATTCGTCGACGCGGTTATTAGGTTTTACTACATTTCGCGCCTTTTCGCTGCCGCCATTACGCGCCGACTTTGAAACTATCGATACAATCGCTTCGGTATGAAATCGTTTATTCGTTTGTTAGGTCTTAGTAAATCTTCACCGATTTAATCGTCTATTTCTTTAATCATTAGTTTTTTGTTTTTTCTTCTTTTTAATCGTGTTTTTACGAAACGCTAATGCGACTTGTACCAAGATCTCTCTTGCGAATTATAGAAAAATCCTGTCTTCTCGTAGTACACGCGTAATCGTCGATATTGTCAACATTCTCGATTCAATAATCGCATTAATCGCAGCTGTCAACGATGTTATCTAACGAAACGTAAATGGAATACTCAGGGACCAGGAAGTACGATTCTTTCGACCAATAAATGGTTTTCGCAGTCAAATTCAGATCATCTTTAAAGACCCCCCCCCCCCTC